TAATAATATAATAATAAATACTTCATATTTATATAATCTGAATTTATAATAATCCAAGCATTTCAGCATTAACTAAGACATCATATTCTTCCTCCAGCATGCAGGTAGAAGTGTCTTTTGTAGCTCACAGAAGAAAAAGTTGTATGACTCAGGGTGAGAGTATTTCTCTTTGTCTATTTTCACAACTGCCAGCAGCAGAGTTCCAGGAGGATGGTGAGCAGGCAAGCAAGTGCAAACACTGTTTGCTGTAGTCTTAGCCCATTAGAAAATAAGCTGGTAATTTCTTCATTTTCTGATTTCAGTTCTAAAATCAAGATAACAAAATGGTGAATGAACAAAATATGCAGATTTTAAAACATGAGGATTTTCAACGTACTTTGAAAGTCCTCTGAGATCTCACAGGTACTTAAGTTAAAGATATCAGCTGTTAAAGCCAATCAAAGAGGATATTCTCAGGGGAGAGATGTGAATAGATGTCCCATCAATGATCGTTTGAGGAGCAACTGATAGCACTTATCAGCTCTTGCAGGCATTAATCTGACAATAATCAAAAGTAAATACCAAGCAAAAGCAGGAGCGAGATCTTCACAAGAGGTATGCCCTCAAGTCTGCATGCAGCCTTTTAACCCTTCCTTTAAAAAGAGGAGCACAATTTATTAGCACAAGCAGAAAGCCATACCCTCATGTACATGAAAAACACTGAGGTCCTGCTCAGAGGATGAACAGAAAATTCTTCACTGCCTATGTTAAGCTGACATCAAGGGTAGTAAGAAGTAGAGTGCTTTTACTAGAATGGCAAGGCCTGTGAGGTCTTTTTGCTCTGTAATGGGAAACAATTGGGCTGATTCAAAGATGAATACCCAAAGATCTTGGGCATTTAACTCTTCTGAAGAGTTTAACAAGCAATTTGGGTGCCACACATAATTAGTCAATACAGAATACTTCAAGGCAAAAGTGGTTTTGATTGTGGCTTTTTGTTGTGTTTTCGTTTGGTTGGTTGGTATTCCTTTGGTTTAGTTTTTTGTCCGTGGTTGCAAAGATAGGAATGTCACCTTTCCTTTGTATTTCACTTCTTTGGACTTGTGGGCTTATAACACACTAGGACATATCCAGGGGACCTTAGAGGCTCAGTTTTTGAAATTTATATTGACTTCTGAGTTGATGGTATAATTCAGGAGTCTCAGCTTGAACAAACTTCTACTCAGGCAGGAATCTGGTCAGGAAAAAAATGTGTTATAGCTCTTCGGGGTGGAAACGAATCTTGAAGCTATTTAGGTCTGTCCCCGCTAACTAGTGGTGCTGGCAGAACTGGAGGAAATTATATTACAGGGTGGGACTGAGACATCATGGGTGGACAAGGTCCAGCCAAGGCCAGGTTGGATGGGGCTTTGAGCAACCTCGTCTAGTGGAAAGTACTGCCCATGGCAGGGGGGTTGGAACTAGATGGTCCAAAACAAAACCACTCTACGAAGAGCAAGAATATTTTGCACTAACTTTACTATTGCAGAGAAAAATAATATGAATCTTTTATTAGTCATCTCAAAGTATTGAACATAGTCTAGATCTCAGTAGCCTCTTCTCAATAGAAAAGAAGTACCTGTAAAGCAATATTTAAGTTATTATGCTAGGTGATACTGTGTTTTCAAACATATACTTTTACAAAAGGATTTTCACAAGCTGATGTATAAAGACATATAGTAATGTAATGCTTTTGAGGAGACTGGGTATTACTGCTTTACACTGATCAGGACTATGGCTACACGTTTTCTGTGAAGTGTCCTCAGTCTTAAAACTCCGTATAAGATTTTGAAGATTAAGATACAGATCTTTATTCAGGCTCAGGCTAGTTTTCTGACATTTATGTGTTAAGTAGCTTATGCAAGCACATGCAGATTTTCAGTACTTGTTTCTCTAGTGTGACACTTTTCTACTTCTACCACACCAGCTTGCACTGTTCTTTTCTCTAAGAAACATTTCTTTATACTTAGAGTACTTTAGTTGTACAAATTGTCTTGGTTAAGCGGGAAGTCATAGACATTTTTAGATTTTGCAGAACAGAGAAAGATTTAATCTCTATAATTTTCAGTTAAAATGGGGGAAGTTTCCTACTGCACAATTATAAAGATCTCAAAGCGTTTTCTGTGATTTACTATACGGGCAACAGCAGTATAATTTACTGGCTTACTGATGGATTCTCCAAAGCAAAGCAGACTACTGCAGAAATCTAAATAGAGCACATGCAGTATCCTCTGAGTACCCACCCTTCCAGATCTGTTACCCACAGGATAAAAATGGTTGATTTAATGTCGTTCCTTACCACAGTTATCATGCATTATTTCTGAGAGGCAGTTCAGAGTACCATAGCCGCACCGACACAGCCAACAGCCCTTCAGCACCCAGGCGCCATGGGCAACGCTGCCGCAGTTGCTGTCAAGGACAAGGGAGACATTTGGTATGTCCCTGATCCCATCACAGAAAATAGCCATTCAGAGCAGCTCTCTCACTCTTTCTAGTTTTGGTCTGTTTTTTACCTTTGCCGCTCATCGTGTTCACAATATCTGCCAGTGAAATGCTTTAAGCAGGCACAGAAAGCCCCTAGGATACAGGTCCCTCCGTTTTGGCAGCAGTGTCTGTTCAGTTTTTTACCTGCAAGACAAAATTACAGAGGCTACCAAGCATCCTGGGGATTCTGAACCTCCCCTTTCCCTCTCTTGGTCTCTCAGGTCTCTCCAGTTGCCAAAGGATCTTAAGGATATCTAGTTTTATTGTCTTTAGAGACAATAAAATTATCTGCCTGTTAGGAGTGTTTGTTCAGTTAAACCCAGTTTGTTTAGTTAAGGATTAGAAGCAAACTACTAGGGATTACAGGATGGTCAAGAAGCAATGCCTGGCAAGTCCTGTAGCAGCAGCAGCAGCAGCATATATTCAAGTTAAATATTTCACTTTGACAGAGGCAGGTTTCAGTCACACTAACAAATGGGGCATTGTTACCGGGAAGTGGTGCTTATGTTTGGAGAAAGGAGGCTGTCATTGGAAGAGTTGTTTAGTTTTGAGAGAGGAAAGCTTCCTCATGCCTTTCTCAGACTTCTGGAATTGAATGCCAAGCTAAAACTTCATATATGTGGGAGGAAACATAAGTCTGCTCTTGCTTCTTTTCTCTTAGTACTGTTGGTTTTATACTGCTCAATCTTTTATAAAAAAAAAAAAAAAAAAAAAAGTCAAATTACTTTTGGTCATGAAATATGGTGAATTTAAAAAAATGAACATAATTTTACAGACGTCTTTGCCAATCCAAGGGACCAACCCGTTCTTAATTCCTAGTATCCTTTCTTGTCTTCTATTACCACATTTTCTAGGCAAGAGATCCCGGTTCTACATTAAATTGTTATCACCATTTTCTAAGTGGCTACAGGAACAATTTAAATGAGCAGCCACAGAAAATCAAAATGCTGGAGTCTTCCTGGACAATAGTCAAAGCATTACTGCGATATAATATTTTAAAAAGCGATTCTATGGCGTTGTTTAAATAAATAATGTTACCTACTCTGTGTAATCCCAGTAAAAGGTACCACTGCCCTTGAAATCTGTTGCTTTCTACTTTCGTAACTCTGATTCATGTCACTGAGAGCATTTATAGTAGTCCTTTCGTTCTTGGGCTGCTGCTTTTGTGCTGTGGTATTGAGACTTTTCACATCTTCTTCAAGTTCTTCTTTTTCACGGCCTTGACAAGTACAGATATGGAAGAGAAGGGTAGCTTGAATGAAGCAATGCCTACTGTAAATGAACATACGGAGGGGTGGGGAAAACACGAATTTTTCCTTACCTTTTCCTAGATGAACAGCCTGCCAGACCAGAGACACAGTGAAAAGAATTCTACAAAAAAAACCAAAGAGCCGAAATAAATTTGTGCTAATAAGGCACAAACACCAAAACGAAGATTGGGTGAGTGGGGCGGGGGTAGAAGCTTTTTCAAAGCTTTTTCAAAGCTTTATAAACGATTGATAATATAGACTATAAATATTTTATGCCAGTAGTAATTCGAGAATTCAAGTAAACACATTAAAAATATCTCTAAACTTGAAAAGTTGGGAGAAGGGGGAGGGTGAGGGAGAGAGGGGAGACTGACGGACAGAGAACAGGGTCATACAGCTTCATCTTACTTCCAGAAAGCTACAGATTCCATACATTTGCTGGTTGACAACCAGTCAAAAAGGTCCCTTTATGGACATTTCTCTACCACGACAAGGTCGTTGCCAGCAGTTACAAAAAGCAGCAAAGGCAAGAGGAAAACATTAGCCTTCACTTCACCCGCAGTTCCAGGTACATCTGTTCCATTCAGCTTCCTACCCCGACTATCAGCAAGAGAAAAAGCACTGCTAAAAGGAAAAGCATTCTTGGCTGTAGAAGGTCCCTTGCAGCTCAGGCAGCCTTACCTAACATGATTTCCCCAGTACATTTTCCTTCAGCCTGAAACACCCGTGAGATCCTTCAGGAAAGCTTGAGCAGAGCCCCTCACTGAAGGCTGTTGCATGTAGCAGTCCTCACACCATGCACGGCAACGTGAGAAGGAGCTTGGATGAAATTTCTCTCTTTCTGTCCAGTTTACAACAGCATCGAAGAGACATAGTTCCCAGTTGCACCGCTTGCTGAGCCCTCACTGGCAGGGAGAGACCATCTTTCCAACCTGGGACTCACTGGCCAGCTCCCGATTTACATGCATGGCTGAAGGGTGGAGCAAAGTGGGGGCTCCTGCTGCTGGGGGGACACTTAAGGGCCCATGACCACAAAAAAGTCCAAGCCAGGAAGATTTTAACTCCAGTTTATTTCTTAACATGAAAAAACCTTGTTATCATCATTTACAGGGTGGGAAAGAAAATACTGTTCTGCAGAGCTGCGAAGGGAATACAATAAATGCAGCTGGTATATAACAAAGGTTAAAAAGCCTCACCTCTACTTATATGCTTTGTTTCTGTCAAGGTTTTCCATAGGGACCTCTATTTTATGAAGTTGTACCACTTCGCAACACCAGTAATCCTTAGAGCCTGCATTAGAGATTTCTACCAAAAGTATTACAGAAAGCAGCCCAAGATTCTTGACAGAGGATTGTTGTCTCTCAAGAGCTGTTAATACGCTTGAAATTTCTCTTGAGACTTATTTACTATTAGTAAAATTAGACCCATTTGTGAGCATTCCTAGGCTGAGCCCATGCAATATCAGCAGATAGTTAGGTTTAATTTACTGTATGTGCTGAAATGGGCTAGGAACACTCACACAACTTTACTATGGCTCAGCAACACCAGCAAAAAGTATTAAAAAAGCAGCTCTGGGCAGTCTTTTTTCAAATGGCTCTACTTGTACCTGGGAGTGCACATTGCCTCTTCCTAAATTGTAACAGGGAACTGCAGCAATACGGCTTTGTTTTGTTTGGGGAGGGGGAGCATGTGGAGGAGTCATGCTTTCCTATGCCAGTGTGAACCAAGCTAGTACAAGTTGAATCTTGGCTAGATGTATGATCACATCAGACATATGGGTCAGACCTTCACTAAAGAAATGGCTGTACTGGCTAAAGACGTCATCTCTTGGTGTTTGTAAATCTCTGTGGCTGACACTTGTCAGCTTTGTCCCATCTAAACTAATGGTTTGGAAACTATGATCACCTCTCATCCAATCTGGTACAAAAGCCAGATTAATTTACAGAGTACTGTCCGAATTAAGTCAACCTGATTGGCACTGAGGCAGATGAAAAGTGTTCTGAGGACATGCTCTTTCATGTCTCCTGTGTGGACACTGACCTCCAAGTGCATGGCTGGAGATTTGCAACAGATCTTTCTGCGGCAGGGAACGTTTGCAGGGAGTGCTCTGCTGTACTACGTCAGTCCTGGTGGATAAGGCATTCCCAGTGCTGGTACAGCTATTGACTCCAATTGATCTATCTCAACTGTTTTCTTGTAGATGCAGACTAGCTCCTTTAGCTTCATGGTAATTTGTTTCATGGTGTGTTTTATGTTTGTTACTAGTTTAAACTGATTTAGATTAAGTTATTTTTGTTCCAGACTTGCACGAAGTACCTTGTCTTTTGGAATTGAGAGTCTGTGATCTATGTTTGTATTTAAGTCAGCTAAATTAGCACAAGAAGAACTTACATGCTAATACTTGTAGGTAAGATGTTTAGCAGAAAGAGTTTTATGATAGAAATCACAACATGTTAATTCAGGAAGGGATTTTGGTTTTCATATTTTAAATAGCAACGATTTCAAAGAAGCAGACTACTTTCACCATTCTGCTGTCTGCTTCTACCTGCTGTTATTCACAAGAACTTCTAAACTAAGGTTTAGGTAGTTGCTTAAAACCTATCATAAGTGTTCAAGTATATTGTCACAACAACTGTAAGATGTTTCAGACTAAATGAAAGAGATGTTATTTTTGCATGTATTTACAAAACATGTATGTTTGTTTAATCAACATAGGAAATTGTTTACTTGTAGAAAATACAACTCAAACAGCTCTTGCTTTCATTTGAGTTCAGTAGCTGTATAGCAGGGTTAGTATTTTGACTTTAAACAGAACAGCTGTAGTTACATTTGTTTGCTGTTTTTTGTTATTATATTAGGAAAAAAAAAATCAATTTGGCCTGAAGTTAACAACATTCAAATGCTGAAATGCTGCCACTTAACATCTTGTCTATTGGTTTTCCCCCTTCCACGGACTGAAGGCAGAAAAAATAAACAGAGAAAAGTTAACACAGGAATATCACACTTACTGGGTTTTTTACTGAATACCATGTCGATATAGCTCTTCCAGTGAGCTTTCCTGGGTACCAGATTCCCAGTCCTATACTGGAGTTAACTTTCAAAGTAGGAGTGCTGGTAAAGAAATACTGATCAATTTTCACACCCTGTGCCATTTGTTTAAGATCAGAAGTCATCCCTGTAGCTGCAAGAGCTAACAATCTGGGGAACTGTAAAGCAGCTGGTAAACATTTCTCACTGTGATACCTTATTTCTTCCTTCTCCCTATAGCCTCGGCAGCAAGGCACACATAGGAATGGGGACAACACAAATTGCTGTGCTTGCCTTACTGCCCTGTAGAGGTGAGATTGGTGTGACACTGTGGAAAATCTCTGCTGTTTGTTGTTGACAGAATCTGCCAGAAGGTGATTGCTTCTGCCCAGGAATTTGAGAGGATATGCAGTAGAAGTAGAAGCACCCCCTTTATCAGCTTCAAGTAAGATAAGAATGGAGCCAACCAAGGAGCTGGTTCTGAGCATTTCAGTCAAAATGTTTGTACACAGGACATGGTTAACCATTAGTTAAGGGCCTTCACTGCTGTTAGTTCTGACAGCAAGTCAAGGAGCCTATAGGGATAAGAGTGGCAGGAAAACATGGTGTTACTTTATTAGTCCACGTAGCTCCTCTTATGCTTACCAGGGAACTGTAAGTCTGCAACCTTTTCCCAACGTGCAAGTTGACCGCTACACTGAAAGGTGAAGTGTGGATAATACATACTGTTTTTTGAATATTAGTGTTTCATACCAACTGTACTCCTGTGTACTTACTATTTCTAAAAGATTCAGGATCAATAGATGCCTAAGGACTGGAGGCCTCAATGGAAAAAAAAACAACAAAAAAACAACCAAAAAACATGGACGAGGAAAATGTGCGTGTCCCTGGCTTCCTGGGAACTATGTTGAGAAGCCTGGTCAGGGGTTATTCAGCAATGGCCAGTGACTAGGGAGCTTTAGGTTCCCAAATTCCAGTTTAGAGTAGGACCAGATTTTTAATCAGATTTAGACAAGTTAAATCAGTTATACAGAATATTATGGAAAACAATGGAAAGATATCACACCACCACTACCACCCCAAGACATTTATTGAAATCTTGGTAATAGAGACTTCAGTGGAGCAAAGCTGTGAGGCTGAGTGACTTACTGTCCTCTGAGGAAAAGACAGACCCCAGGCACTCTAGGCTGGGAGCTCTCGGAGTGCGTTTAACAAATTACATGGTAAAGATCCTGGATGGAAAGACCTAATACTAGCCACCCTGAAATTTTTATTTTTATTTGTTTGGGTTTTGTTGGCTACAGCTGCTACTAGGGCGTCTGACAGCTACCCAGGCACTTTTGCTGTCTACAGGCTATGTGAAACTTAAATGCAGTCAGACTGATTTTTATGGTGTCACAGGATCTTCTCTACAGGTGTTGGTAAGACTAACTTATTACTGTCAGGAATTTCCTGTAGGATCCTGCAGTGGTTGCTGTTGTTGCCTTTTCATTTCGGTGTATGTATGAAGGGGAGATCGTATACAGGCACGAGAGCTCACACTGTTTCAAATGAGCAGTATAAATGCCCTGAGCAGCTTTTCCATTCCAGGTTAAGAATGGTTTACAATCATTTAGTTGGAATCTGCCACTAATTGACTTGAGGAAGTAAGAAGCAGGAAAATAAGATAATCCATACAGAGACTGGCACAGGTTTAACTAATGCCACAGGTCCATGATCAACTTAAGCAGGATAAATGGCTGCTGCTATTAAAAGGATGAGTTCCCCTCTGTCTTACACCATGTGCTATTTGTTCATACTACCATCCTTACACTTACATTATTGTTTGTGCAGCCATGAGTGAGCTGGAGTAGGGAATTTATCTGAATGAAAACTCATCTGGCAAAAATCCCCGTTAGTTTTCATCTGGATCAGTTCCCTGATGTAGTTCACCACATAAGCCCTAGTGCTGGCAGAAGTAGGAGACAGAGATAAGCAGCCATGGCCATTTGATAGGTAGCCTCTTTCTGTAACAGAGCTGATTTATACCAGATTAAATTGACTGTGGAATTTATACATAGATTTCAGTTCATAAATTTAAACTGGATTTCCCTTCCCTAGGAAATAAACCACAGCCAATATATCCACATGATAATGATACCACCTTCTATGCTCTCATCCTATTAGCACTGACTAACACAGAGGAGTAGAGCAGTCATCCCACATCTCTGACACATATGGATGAAGTTTAGTACAAACAAGATGGGAGTGATATTACCAAATGAAAGGAAACAGTTACAGCAGTCCCTTGGAGAGGGAACCTTATGCAGATGTTGTACAAAAATGTAATGCTAATGTAATCTAAATTTATGGAATAAAACCATCCTCAGAGCATCCTGTAGGTTTCGCTTCTATTAAGGCTACTGCTTACTCATTACACATGATGAAAAAATCAATACAGTAATGAAAGGGTTTTGTAATGAAAATGAATGTAGTTTATGTCTTTTCTGTACAGAAAAAAAAATAAATCTGCCTGTACACAGGAGAAGTGATAAGAAGATCCTGGTTATCTTCCTCTGAAGGAAAGATTTTTTGGCAAATGAATCAACATGAACGCTAAGACACTACAAGACTTAGATTTCTTTACTAATTCTTCTTCAAATAAAGAATTTTTAGTATTTTATTGAACAAAAAGAAG